CAGTGCATGTTTCACACCACCCATTCCTGGGTGTTAGGTACCACTGTCACACACCTGAGTATCACTAGCAACATCTAAGACTGCCTTTGGTCCTCTGTTGTGGTTACCTCACTCTGTTTGAAGCAGTTTAGGGTGTTAGAAATGCTGAGCGGTGGAGCTGAGATAATGCCGGAGAAAGTTAGTGAGATGGGTGGCAGAATAAAAAATAGAAGAAGTTATTTCATGACATTTTGCTGTCATACCTAGGGACTTTTTTATCTTGGCCATAAAGGCAGGGCTACAGCCATGATTCCAAAAGCCTCAGATGCACCAATGCACAGAAAGGCATATTTCCAATGAGAACTGCCAGTGGAGATCTGTGCTTGGAGCTTGCACTGAGTCTCTTAAGAATTGCTCAAACAAGTGATCTGCCTCTTCCATGCATGAATTCTGGATCCCACCACTGTTGAGGGTGATGCTTCTGCCCTCATCCTCCCCAGCTGGCACCAATGCTGGCTGTAGCAGCCACTGGGATTCCTGGGCAGGCATTTCTTTTATTGATGGTTGTGCCGGGGTGTATTCCAGGTCTGCTCCCTGCTGTGCCAAGGCTGATTGGCTTRATCAGACTATGGTAAACCTGTTGTGAATGCTTCACGCTTGGCTGGACTTGCCAATTGTAGCTGCTCTGATTGCACCCCTGCTGCTTGTTTGACTGCCTGGTGGCTCCCAGCCAGGGCCCAGGGTTGGAAAGTCAAGTTAATTTGCAATAGTGAAGGTAATGCTAATCTTACCTTTCCTTTTTTTTAGACATACAGTTAGAAAACCAGGAAATGGTTTTCTTTCCCCTTAAATATGAAGCCTCAGAGAGGAGAAATGGAGTCTGATGTCACTGAAGCCTTCCTATTTCTCAGCACAAACTCAGTGTACATAATACCTAGTAATGATTGTGCAGTACCCTGCTGAGACTGGGCAGGGAATGAGAACTAGTGCTGATGAAACTTCATTTCAGACCATTCCTGGCTGGTCCACATCTCCAATTATTTCAYAGTTGCCTCATTGTTGGATGTGAGTTTTCCAGGGTTGGTTTCCTTGGCCTCACTTGCAGCTGCTGTGGCTCTTGGCTCAGTGCTACGGGTACTGGGTCTCGTTGTGAGGGTGTTCTCTGCACTGCCATCAGCACCAAATCTGCTAGGGAGGTGCAGGTGTCCCCATCCTTTGCCACCTGGCTGTCTGACAGTGCTTCSTTGTGTTCATAATGGGATGTTCTCATCTTCCTTAGCACATTGTTCTCGGGCTGATGGGACTTGAGAATAATGTGCTCAGATGAGTTGGAGGCAGCCAGCCCAGCCAAGTTTCTGACAGTGACGAAAGGTCTTCTTGTGCTGCCTGCCCCGCCAGCAGCTCCAGCAGCACAAAGAGAGGGCTGTGTGCTTGAGCTGTCTGYTTGGGTTTGTAACACCAGTGTGTGTGCAGCCAAATGGCTTCTTCAGCAATGCTCGAATAATTCCAAAYGTGTGAGCAAACCTCAGGGCTTGTGGCTGCCCCACCACAAGCTCTGCTCCGTGCTGTGCCCTCTGTGAGGTGGGAGCACTGGGGAACTCAGACAATAGGGAGCTTCCAGTGTGCATCCCTGGTTACTGTTCAGCGTCCCCCTCTCTGTACTGGGTCTTGGTGGGTTAATGTTGCTGGTTTAGGACCCAGCCCCTGTATTCATCTCTAAGCCCTGCAGCTTCATGGCTCACCCCAGGGCAGTGTCCCCCAGCTTTGTCACTGTTGTGTGGAGGTGGGACAGGCAGTGGCAGGGCACAGCCTCAGGTCTGGGTGCTGTATGGCCATGTTGAGGTTGGCACTGGACCTACATGGCTTTGGGTCAGGAGCTGGGAATTGCCCCAGGGAAGGTGGTRCCCTGGCCTCTATGTGCTTCCTGGCCCAGGCACTGAGCTTCAAAACAACCTAAGCAGGAGCCTTTGTCCCTGCTTTATATCTCTGACATCCAGCAGCTGTCAGCTTTAGCGTTTGAGAACTGACAGTTGGAGGAGTTTGTTTTGCTTGTTTGTTTAGAGACTCAACTTCCAGCACTTCTCTGGAGGAGCAGCTAGAAGAAGCAGGCCTGTCTATTGAACTCAAGTGTATGTGAACTTGGCCTTTTAGTTCTGTGTTCATGCTTTCTTTAGGAAGTCTTTTGTGGCCTCTGAGTCCAAAAGGATCAAGTGCATTGCTTCATTGTAGGAATAAAGCTCAGTGAAAGAGATGAGACTTTTCTGGGGTTGGCRCAAGACTGTCAAAAGACAAGGAGCTATCTTGACCCTCCCACTTTCTCGCCTGTGTGCCAAGCAAGTTTCTGTAGTGCATATTTTTCCAAACAGAGGAGTTTGTGGCCTGGGTGTGGGTGGAAAGGAGTAAAAAAAAAAAAGGCCAAGACAAAGCTAAAGTCCTCCTATGCACGTGTGCCTTTCTGGGGAGGATGGAGCAAAGGTCTGCCAGCACTACCAGCATCATGACTGACAAGACAGAGCTCTTGAATACCATGGGGATCAGAGTAGTATATGACCCTGTGCAGAAATGGTATGGGAAGGGC